TTCAATATCTATGTCACATACACCAAAAAAGCTAGGTCACAGACCAAACAAAATTCACCACTGTTCAATTACTAGGTCACAATCACACAAAAATACAGTACAACCACCGCCCACAGATCCACCACCACCGCCCAAAACATACCACCGCTCACCCAGACACATAGATCCACCACCTACACACAGATATGCCACCCACCCGAAAACTGTCAGCAACGTCGACGTTGCTGTCGCTGCTGTGCGATGCAGCGGCGACACCGGTACTGTGTCGCACAGTAGCGTGTCGCCACGCTGCTGTGTCGCGCATCAGATCTAGGGGGAACAAAGGGAGGAGACGGGATGGAGGGGGAGGGAGAAGGGGCGGCGGCGACAGCGACGGGCGGTGGTGGCGACGGGCGAGAGAGGGAGAATATATGAAATAGATTAGGGTCTGGATTTGGATATGATGTTATATTTAAAATAAAGTTGGTAGGGTAGGTAGTGGGGTGAGGTGGGCATATAGATTAATTTAATATAAAATATTATTATTAATATTAATTGTGAAATTAAAACCCGATTTTTGATTAAATAAAGCAAAAACCTGATTTTTAGAAAGTTAAAACTAAACCCCGATCTAGTGTAATTTCCACATAATCCGACCCAAATAACAAAATCCATAGTTACAGGCCCATTATCAATGAAAGAACTGTTGCTAGTCCACTAGATATTTTCCAGGTGCGAGTCAAAGCACGAAAGCTCCCACAACAATGCTGGCGGTAATCACCACCGTTCTTTTTCCACCGACCACCTTAATCCTAGCCACGTGTACCCCGTCACTCCCACTATATATATATACATGTACTGCAATACCCCCTCAAACCCACCCTCATTGTCGGACTATCTTTGCAAGGGAACAATCCACGCGGTCCGGGTAAAAGAGAAATTATAAAACAGAGCAAAAGCAATCTCAATTCTTTGTCCTCAAGGTGAATTATCTATACATCTTGTTTAAGTTTTCTTAGCTTCATTTTAATTTGTCGGGAATATGATTTTTTTATTCTCATAATACTATTGTAGATGGTTTCGGACGCAAGCAAGAAGAAGGCGGCGCAGAAGAAGGCAGCGGCTGCGGCCA